CCCTATCCGTGGGGGCCAATAACTCGCCCCCAATAGCCAGCGATGGCACCAGCTGGCTATATCGGGACGCCGGAAGCCACAGCCACTCGGTCTTGGAAGGGTTGAGTCGGAGCCTGTTACTCCCCATCCAGATACGCACGGCCTCCAGGCACTGGGACATCACTTCAAGGGCATCGTTGGGGTGGCCTGGGGTGGAGATGTACAGCTGAGTATCAACAGCGTACTGATGGAACTCCACCCCAAAGCCACGGATGATCTCACCCAGCGGCTTCACATAAATGTTGAACAGAAGGGGCGAGAGGACCGACCCCTGAGGCACTCCACAAACAAGGTGCCTCGGGGTCGACCTCTGCCCCCCTGCCAACACCGACTGCGACCGGTCAGAGAGATAGGAGGAGAACCACCGCAAAACAGTGCCCCCCACTCCCAAACCCTCCAACCGGCGCAGCAGGATACCATGGTCGATGGTATCAAAAGCCGCTGAGAGATCTAACAGGACCAGGACAGAGGAACAACCCCTATCCCGAGCCCTCCAGAGATCATCCACCAACGCGACCAATGCCGTTTCCGTGCTGTGCCCAGGCCTGAAGCTGGACTGGAGCGGATCCAGATAGACAGCTTCATCCAGGTACCCAGGAAGCTGTTGCACTACCACACTCTCAACAACCTTCGCCAAGAAGGGAAGGTTGGAGACCGGACGATAGTTAGCCAAAACAGCCGGATCCAGAGCAGGCTTCTTGAGGAGGGGCCTCACCACCGCCTCTTTCAAGGCGGATGGCAAGACACCCTCGCCCAAAGAAGCATTGATAATACCCTGGAGCCAGCCTCGCGTAACCTCCCGGGAGGCCAGCACCAACCAGGAGGGACACAGGTCCAATAAACATGTGGTCGCGTTCAGCCGCCCCAGTATCCTGTCCATGTCCTCGGGAGCAACAGGGTCGAACTCCTCCCAAATGGCAGTCTCAAGACCGACATTGCGACCACTGGAGATTCCCATTCTCAGACATATGCCTTTTGAAATATATTTCTTCATTTCCTTCCTCACTGTCATTCATACCTTAAAGGTAAAGGCTCCCCTCGCACATAAGTGCTAGTTGTTCCCGACTCTAGGGGGCAGTGCTCATTTCCGTTTCAAAGCTGAAGAACCAGCGCTGTCTGAAGACGTCTCTGTGGTCATGTGGCCAGCAAGACTAAACGCCAAAGGTGCACGGAACGCTGTTACCTTCCCACCAAAGGTGGTCCCTATTTTTCTACTTGCATTTTTTACGTGCTTTCAAATTGCTAGGTTGGCAGAAGCTGGGGCAAGTAACGGGAGCTCACCCTGTTACGCGGCACTAGGGATTCGAACCGCTGAACTGCCGACCTTTTGATCGACAAGCTCAGCGTCTTAGCCACTGAGCCACCTCAAGGGGAGCACCCGGAGGCTCCAACTGGCGCAGAGTGCGGCCGTGCGGGTGGTTATGGGAGCAACATGGCGCTCCTGTGTGACACCTCTCCTGCGTGAGCTGCGCTGGCTCCCGGTGGTCTTCCAGGTGCGCTTCAAGGTTTTGGTCACCATCTTTAGAGCGCTCCATGGCTTAGGACCTGGTTATTTATGGGACCACCTACTACCACAAACAGCCTCCCACCGGCTGGTACGCTCTCATAGAGAGGGGCTCCTCCGAGTGCTGTCAGCCAAGCAGTATCGACTGATGGCCGCCAGGGGGAGGGCCTTCTCTGTGGGGGCACCCACTATCTGGAACGAGCTCCCCCCGGAGACAAGGAGGATCCCGGATCTGTGCACTTTCCGCCATGCTCTTAAGACCCTCCTATTCCAGCAAGCTGGCCTGGCCTAATTTTCTCCCCTTTCTTTTAAATTTTTAAATTGAAATTTTAATTTGTTTTAAATTGTTGGGATTTTTAATTGTTTGGGCTAAATTATTTAATTTGGTTTTAATTATGTTTCTAGCTTTTGTATTTATGTATTTTATTTTGTGCCTGTTCACCACCCTGAGTCCTTCGGGAGTAGGGCGGTATATAAATTTAATAAAACATAAAACATAAACATAAATATCCCTTTTTATTCATGCCTTAAGTCACTTCATTCAATTACTGCATTGTGCTCTACATGGGGCTACCCTTGAAGACTATCTGGAAGCCGCAACTAGCCCATAATGCAGTAGTGTGTATACTTCTGGATGCAGTTCACCCATGTTACGCTAAAGGTAGTCCTGTTGATAATGTGACCCTGGGAATGCTGCAATGGTCTTAAATATAAGGATTGGTCATAAGTAACTGTTTTCAATGCCAGTATAACTTCATGTCTAAATGAATGGTTCTAATCTGAGTATTACTTGTACAGTATTGCTGTGTGAGCTGCACTGATTACAAGTTGCTTTTTAGGTGCAATTCAAGGTACTGTTTATCACCTATAAAGCTCTATGTAGCAGAGGGCCAGGTAATTTGCAGAACCTCTTCTTCCTGCGGGTATCTGCCTGTCCCACTAGGTTAAACAGAGTGGATACATTCCAGTTCCCTTCCCTTAGACGCTGTCAATTTGACGGAACCTCAAAGGTGCACCTTCCGTATATTTGCCCCAGACTTTTGGAATAATCTTCCCCACCTGAAATTCAAGGAATCCCTATGAGAAGACCTGGCTCTTTTCCAGTATTTAAGGGGCTGCCACAAGGAAGACGGTGGTCAATCTATTCTCCAAAGAACCTGAAGGCAGGACAAGAAGCAATGGATGGAATCTAATCAAGAAGAGAAACTACCTGGAACTAAGGAGAAATTTACTGACAGTAAGAATAATTAATCAGTGGAAGAGCTTGCCTTCAGAAGTTGTAGGTTCTCCAATACTGGAAGTTTTTAAGAAGAGCCTGAACAACCATTTGTCTGAAATGGTAAAGAGTCTCTTGCTTGAGCAAGGGGTTAGATTAAAAGACCTCCAAGGTCCCTTCCAACTCTATTACTCTGTTATTCTAAACATTAGGCTAATGTTTGCTTTATTTTATTTTATTGCTTTTATAGGTAGTCTTCGACTTATAGTCATTTAGTGACCGTTCAAAGTTACAATGGCACCGGGGGAAAAATGACATGACCGTGATCAAAATTAAGAATGCTTGGCAATTGGTTCATATTTATGATGGTTGAAATGTTCCAGGGTCATTTGATCACCTTCTGCGACCTTCTGACAAGCGAAGTCAATAAGGAAGCCAGATTGACATAAGGATTAAGTGCAGGGATGAAATCCAGCAGGTTCTGACAGGTTCTGGAGAACCGGTAGCGGAAATTTTGAGTAGTTCTGAGAACTGGCAAATACCACCTCTGGCTGGCCCCAGGAGTGGGATGGGAATGGAGATTATGCAGTATTCTTCCCTTGCCACGCCCGCCACGCCATACCACGCCCACCAAGCCACGCCCACAGACCCGGTAGTCAAACAATTTGGATTTCACCACTGGTTAAGCGTTACTAACTTAAAACTGCAGTGATTCACTTAACTATGGCAAGAAAAATCATAAAACCAGGCAAACTCACCTAACAGCTGTCTCACTTAGCAACAGAAATTTGGGGCTCAATTGTGATCGTAGGACAAGGACTACCTGTATTGTTCCTTATAAGCCACTTCGGATTGCTATGTGAGATAGGCAGCCATATAAGTTCCTTAAATCAATCAATTAAAAACAATTAAACATTTTGGCTGCACTTTTAAAAATTACTCCACATCCATTTCTCTGTGCACTTGTCAGGCTCAGCATTTAAAGATATTATTCTTTCTCTGAGGAAAATTGAGCAATCGATTTACAAGATTAAAGAAAAATACAGGTTTGTACAAGTTAAAAGGAGTCAGCCCATCACAGTCAAAAGTCTATGTCAGTCTTAAAGTGGCTCATGTGACCAACCCGATTTTTCAACCTTTTTTGTGGTGATTGTTAAGTGAATATCACAATCATTAAGTAAACCAATGGTTCCCCCTATGGGCTAGTTTTATTGAAAACCGGAAGTAAATGCCTGGTTTTTGGCAAAAACATTGTAAAATGTGGCCATGGGACCATGGGAGTCTGAAAATACAGTCCAGTTGTGCATTTAGTGTCCAAAATGCAGTGGTGGCTGCCGGAACTTCAGAACCAGGGGTGGTGCATTGTAACTTCAAATGGTCACTAAGCAATTGGCAGTAAGTTAGGATTACCTATATCTCCATAGCTACCTTTTCTCTTGGAAGGAATGGCCAGAACAACAACAACAACAAAAACAACAACAACAACAAAAAGCTGAGGATGACAGGCCTAGTACACAGAAACTTATTTCATCTCATCACAAGCTACCCACTGTGATGTCCAGGATGCTATAAATTTGCCTGAAATGAACCAGAGTGACAACATAGTCTGTATGTTGTGCTCTACAAGCCAGAAGAAGAACAACAGTGCAACAGTGTGATACAAATGAAGACTTGCTTGTGGAGCTATGGTTAGCCTCAAAGTGTGGCAGGAGAGAGTGACTTAAGACACTGTGGGGTTCATCTTACAGTCAGATTCTAAAATGCTGCCCAGCGCTGTTCAGAAGTCCTTCCTGTTGCAATTCAAATGTGGAGGTTGCTGGCAGCTACGTCACATGAGGCTTTTTCCAGACATCTGGTAGGTAGAGGAGGCAAGCAATTCCTTCTGCTCCGACCCTAAGCCTGGAAAATGCTATTTGAGGCACACTGGATTCACACATTGCAGTGAGCCATGATTTTTAAAATCACACTTTGACAGCCAAACCCTTTCCCTCTCTTGTAACGTGTGAAATCATCCAAGTATTGTGCTGATACAATGACAATGCGGACAAGCTAAACTGAGGGACTTTAGAAAATATTAAAAGTCACAACGGCAAATAGCCTGACACATAGTTCATGTGTTCACACAACCCACTGAGCCCAAACCAAACTAATTACAATTTGACTCAGCAATAAAATATGAAGGGAAGTCTAACAATGAGCTGTGCCTGCTGAAATTGAAAGGTTTTGTATTCTCTTCTGTACCTCTTTCAGCAAGAAAGAAGAGGCAGCAAATGCGAAGGACCATCCATAGCGATACTGGAAATACTGCTCCGAACCACTGGGGCGATTCATCACTTCATCATTGATGCTGGAGATGTACAGGACCAAGCCCACCACCAGGGACAGCCCTGAAGAAGAGCAGAGAAGACAAAGGTTGGGATTGGGAGAAGAAACACAAGGTTAAAAAGGGGTGTTATCTCACTTCTACCAACTTCCAGGTTAAGTCTAAGGGTGGTAGTTTGTAGAAGCTTCATTTGGGGTTGAATTGTGGTCCAATCTCTGCAACTGTTCCTTGGCCAACCAAAGCCCTTTCATGTTTAGTCTTGTGGAAAGATTTCTCCTTGGTAGATAATGCTCCCCGCTCCGATCCCCATTGTTTATATCCCTCTCAATGAGGAGAACTTTTGCTCTGGATCACAATGGTGCTTCCAAACTGTAGATTGGATGCTGTCCTCAAGAAATGGCCAAAGAGCCACTGAAAATCAAGGGCGCTTCCTGTTTCCTGCACAGCCCCAAACTCAGTTTCATTTCTTGACCAAGACAGCAGGGAGCATAGAAACACAGACATATACAGATGGTGATTACAGTACAAGGCAGTACACCACAGTCCAATTTTGTGGAGCAGTTTTATGGATTTCTACTACTTTCTCTTCAATGCCAACATTGCACTGTAGAGTTAGTGTTAAAATTACTCCTGGCAGTATTTTGAAACTACTGAACTTCAGCATCCCTTGGTACTCCTGCACCAGAGAAGTGCAATTTGAACTCGCTGCTTCTTTCCTGACATTCTTCACAGGGCTACACTTTAAGTCCTATTGTCTTAGGGTCCATATTCAGGGTGCCAGCTAATTCTAGAATTGATATCCCATAGGTGTTTTTTTCCCCCCCAAAGGGCAACTGGACTTTCTTGCTTTTTTGTTTGAAAACATTTTGCTTCTCATCCAAGAAGCGTCTTTACTACTAACGGAACTGAATTAGAACTGAAGAAGCTTCTTCTTTTTCCAAAAAAACAAAAAGTCCAGTTGCTTTTTGCAAAAAAAGCACTTGTAGAAAAACCTGGTTGACCTGGTTGACTGAGAATCTCCACGGATATCTACAAGCAATGCTGCTTATTCTGCCTGCCCTTTCCTCTTGCTTCTGGCATAGATGTTACCTAGACTTATGAAAAGAATAGGATACTTTATTTGGCCAAGTGCGATTAGACATACAAGGAATTTGTCTCCGGTACAGAAGCTCCCAATGTACATGCAAAGCAACAGAATAATAATAATCGTAACATGATACCAATAAGGGGATAGTAGAGAAGATGAGAAGGATAATAATAATACCACAGCCATGCAACCTGGGTAAATATACTTAGACATAAAACAATACTGTGAGGATTAGATACTCAGTGGAGTGATGGCACAAGGGAAAAACCTGTCCTGTCTCTAGTTGTTTTTGCATGCCTGTCCTATAGCACTGTCCTGAGGAGAGGAGTTGAAACAATTTATGTCCAGGATGTGAAGGGTCTATAGAGATCATCTCGATCCTCCTTCTGACCCGCACAATATATAGATCTTCTATGGAATTCAGGCTAATGGCAGTTCTAACCTAAAAGAACAGTTCTAGCTATCCTAAAAGAAAATGGTAGCCATTTTTTTTTCTCTCTCCCTTTCTTCCTCCTGATGATTGCAATTCCTGCCTAATAGTTTGTGTGAGGAATCAATATGACCAGGGATTGGAGGAAATAAGAAGGGCTGAACTGGTGCCCACCAGAATTGGCTAATTGGTGCTGGATTAATTCCAATATTTTGGGCTATAGGCACTGTCTTCCAGGAAATTCTATTTAGAGTGGTGGGGAAATCCTGTTTTTTCAAAGGGTACCCTCCAGAGACTTAGTTCAGCATGAAGAACTTGATCTCTAGCAGTGCTGGGATTCTACCCGTTCCGGCGAACTGGTAGCGGCGGCAGTGGGAGGCTCTGCCCACCTGCCCAGATATCATCACAGACACTCTGCGCATGCACAGAGGTGGCATATACGCTCACATTTGCGAACCGGTAGTGAAGGTAAGTGAATACAACTACTGGTCTCTAAGTGGCAGAGAAGAATTGAACATCCCCACACCATCCCTATGCCTGTCAATTGTTCAGGACGCTTTTGAATACAGCTTTAGTGCTCTTCTAGAAAAGCACTAAATTTATATTCAACATCAGCCTGAACCAGGAGCTGACAGCTAGAAGGATGGATTGCTGGGTTGTGAAGCAGCAGAGAGTAAGCAAGCAAGCTGGGGCACTCTTCTGATCAGCTGTCAGAAGTACAAGCTTATCCAGCTCTTCAAGACAGGATACTTGGTGATTAAACAATCTCTTCATCTACCATCTCCACCAGCCCAGTGGGACAAGTTCTGACAAGACGTTAAAGCCCATGAACCAACATCTTCTCCAACCATAGCAGTGTCGCAACTCAGATTTATATTTAGAAAAGCAGCAGAGCTTGAAATAGGATGGCCATTGAACTGTTGCATGATAACAGTGAAAAAATGGCAAATTTCCTCCTACCAAACCTCCAACATGCACCAGAGGCTAAAATCTTGCATTTTCACAAATACTGGTAGTTCTCGCTGAATGATCCCCAGTGGAATCTGCAATTCCATTGCTAAACGATATGAATGTTCAGCAAGACATCTTGTGATCACAATGAGCTTATGACATCACTTCCACCAGGGTCGTTAAATGAGACATCACATGATCACAACTTGTTATTTTGCTGCAAGATTCACCATTGACCTGCCCTGTCAGAAACCAGCTGTGATCCATAAATGGCAATCATGTGATCATAGGGATGCTGTGACCATCGCAATCATGTTACTTTCCCAGCACTGTCATAATTTTGAACAGTCACTAAACAAGGCAATTGTTAAATGAGCAATATCTGCGGAATCTTTTGAACTCCCAGAGGCTTCAGTTAATATGACACAGGGCATGATTTTCACAGATTTTCTACCCTGTCTTGCAGACTCTATACTCCCCACTCCTATGGGGACCTTGGAGCTGGTTTTAAGGGAGCATGGGAAGCATAATAAAGTGAAATAAGTGGAAAGGATTTCCTAATCCTCTTCCATTAAGAAAATAGATTTATTGTCACTTTTTTCTGTGAACACACTGGAGCACATTAAAAATGAAATTCTGATGCCTGCTCTCAGAAGAAAATATATAGTGTATAAAATGTAAAGGTTCCCATCGAACATATGTGCTAGTCATTCCCGACTCTAAGAGGCAGTGCTAATCTCTGTTTCAAAACCGAAGAGTCAGCGCTGTCTGAAGACGTCTCAATGGTCATGTGGCTGGCATGACTCAACGCCAAAGGCGCATGGAATGCTGTTAACTTCCCACCAAAGGTGGTCCCTATTTTTCTACTTGATTTTTTACGTGCTTTCGAACTGTTTTTTGTTCAAAACCAAACATTTAGAGTAGCTTATGTGACCCACAGGGCAGAATCTAAAGTCTCCGTCTTTTATCTCCTCATTTTTATTTAAAAAATAAGTTATTGACTTCCGTATTTGTATGTCTTGGATCTGAGAGCACTTACTGAATATAATCTGTTTGTTTCGCTTTGTGGTGTTGAGACCTCCTTGAGGGCACCCATTCTAAACCAAAGGAACAGTCCCACTAGATCAGGAATCTCTAAACTTGGCAATGTTAAGACTTGTGACATGCTCATTGAGGAATTCTGGGAGTTGGTCCATAAGTATTGGTTGCCAAGTTTGGAGACCCCTGTAATAGACCTGTGTTTCTCAATCTTGGGAACTTTAAGATGACTGGAGACTCTTCAGAAGGAGAGTCAATCTGGAACTAAGGAAAAATTTCCTGAGGTGATCAATAAAACAGGTTGTTTTTGGACATTGTGGGTGCTCCATCACTGGAGGTTTCCAAGAAAATATTAGACAATTCTTTGTCCAGGATGGTATAAAGTGTCCTACCTTGGCAAGGACTTGGACTTAGAGCAGTGTTTCTCAACCTTGGTAGCTTGAAGATGGGTGGACTTCAACTCCTAGAATCCCCCAGCCAACAGCGCTGGCTGTGGGATTCTGGGAGTTGAAGTCCACCCATCTTCAAGCTTCCAAGGTTGAGAAACACTGGACTAGAAAATCTCCAAGGTCCTTTCCAGTTCTATGATTCATTAAGATGTGTGGACTTCAATTCCCAGAATTCTCCAGACAGCCATGCTAGCTGGAGAATTCTGGGAGTTGAAGTCCACACTTATAATTCTCAGCCTCGGAAACACTAAGCTAGATCTTCCCCTCTGCACATTGTAAATTCCCACTCTCGATCTTCAACCCAGAACTGCCCCTGCTATTACAATAAGCTCAGAGCTTGCAGCTCAATCTCCCTTAGTAGAACAGCTCCAGCTTCTGAATCCTTACCAGAAAGGATGAAGAAGATGCCTGAAACGAAAGCCAGGATCGTTCTCTGTGGGCGGATATGTCCAATATTGCTAATGACAAAGGCTGTGAAGACCAGGAAGAGGCTGACCATGGGAAAGGGGGTGGCTGTGCGAATGGTCTCTGCCAGGAGAAAGGGAGTAAGAGAAAAAAGAAAGGTGGGGAAAAGGTTAAATGTGAGTCCATCCCTAGACTTGTGCTCAGAGTTATTTCACATTAAGGCTTAGACCAGAGGGATCCCACAAATGAGACGGTTTAAGAGCATACACAGCAATCTTTTCCTTCATTGATAAATAACTAGCAGCAATGGATGGAAACTAATCAAGGAAAGAAGCAACCTAGAGCTAAGAAGAAATTTCCTTAACAGTGAGAACAAACAAACAGTGGAACGGCTTGCATTCAGAAATTGTGAGTGATTCATCATTGGAGGCTTTTAAGAGGCTGGACAGCATCTGAAATGGTATAGGGCCGTGATGGCGAACCTATGGCACATGTGCCACAGGTGGCACACGGAGTCATATCAGTGGACACGTGAGCATTACACTAGTTCAGCTGCAGCGTGCATATACACACCAACCAGATAATTTTCGGGCCTTTTGGGCCCACCAGAAGAAACAGGCCGTTTCTGGCCTCCGGAGGGCCTCTAGGGGGGTGGAGAAGGCCATTTTTGCCCTCCCCGGGCTCCTAGATAGCCTCTGGAGCCT